CGTAACTCGAGGGAAGTTCGTATGTCGAGTCCTTATTTCCCTATAGGGCGGGTTCGTAAGTTGAATTGTTCGCAAGTAGGGTCGTTCGTAAGTCGAGACCCCACTGTAGGTTTTCTGAAAAGAAGAGGCTCCGGAACTGATGATGGGCGAACCAAATGAGACCCAGTCGAAACAGTTCGAATGTCATGAAACCCTGAAAGAGGCAGGGTCTCTTGACTCAAAAGGCAGAGCCCCCCGAATACCCTCTTGGGAGAATGCCAAGACTTCCCTGGCCTCTCTTGAGGGGGCCACTCCTGCTTCCTGGGAAGCCAGAGGACTGGCAAGTTTCAGCAGAGAAGCGCGAGGCGACGGTGAAAAAACGGAAGGCGCCAAGATGGAGGATCTCCTGAAAGACGATTCGGTCAACATGGACGTGCAACGGACCCTCTTCCGGGAATTTCGTTACCAGGAGGCCGAGGGGCCCCGCGAGGCCTGCAGCCGCCTCTGGTATCTTTGCCATCGGTGGTTGACGCCGGAGAGACACACCAAGGAACAGATCCTGGAGCTGGTGATCCTGGAGCAGTTCCTGGCCATCCTTCCACTGGAGATCCAGAGCTGGATCAAGAGGGGTGACCCACAGACCTGTGACCAGGCGGTGGCCCTGGCGGAGGGCTTCTTACTAAGACGACAGAAGCCCGGGCAACTGGAAAAAGAGGTGAGGATATTTTTTTTAAGAGATACATTGAGGAGAGTCAAGAGCTGCCAATCTAGAGATGAGCCACAATTACCCTTTGTGGAAATGATGACACCATCGCCTGCAACAATTTTTCGAGCCTCGGGACCCTCTGTGGAACTTGTTCATTTCTGAGAATCTGCCAATAAAGTCCTTGCAAGGGTGGTGATTCTTGGAAACTAAAGATACCTCCGTCTCTTGGCCCGTCAATGGCTTTCCCCAGAAGAAGATGATTGCCCCAGATATGCTTGGACTATGACTCCCAGAAGCCTTCACCATGAGCTGTGCCGGCCAAGATTTCTGGGAGTTGCAGTCCCAAGAACCTCTGGAGACCCAAAGTTGGCAACCACTGGCCTAGAGCTTAACCATGTGGTGGTTGACCTCAGAAATGGTTGTATGTGAAACTGTATATCACCTGTAACAGTGGATTCATTCTTTGAGTGTGGAATTTGCGGCCAGGCAACCGAGGCCCACAAATGAGGCAGAAGGTATCAGGAGCCCGGGGGGGAGGGGGGAACCACAAAGTTTGCAGAAGTAACATTTCCTTCCTCTGGGAAAAAATTATTAGGAAAAAAACAAAAAGGGAAGGGAAGACCCTACAAATTTTGCGATGAGCCTGCTCAGCAGGCACAGATTGTTGAGAGAATGTGAATGGAAGAGGGAGAAGGAGAACATAAGAAGGATGGAACGCAGTACCTTGGAGGGGGGCATGGCCGGTGGGTGGACGGGACCCATTGAAAGCATGTACAGTGGTGCCTCGCAATACATTAATTTGTTCCAGTGAAATCGCTGTCTTACGAAAACGTCATAATGCGAAATTCAAAAGCCCATACAAATGCATTAAAACCCAATTAATGCGTTCCTGGGGGCTTGAAACTCACCGTCCAGCGAAGATCCTCCATAGCGCGGCCATTTTCGCTGCCTGTGCAGCGAGGAATCCGTCCCAGAAAAGAGCGGGGAGCCATGTTTTTTACCCGGTGGCCATTTTGAAACCACTGATCAGCTGGCCGAAAATCATCGCTTTGTGAGAATCAGTTCCCAAAGCAGGAAACTGATCATCGCAAAGCGAAATTCCCCCATAGGAAACATTGTTTTGCGATCGCTTTTGCGATCGCAAAACCTTCAACGTAAAGCGATTTCGTCGTAAAACGGAGCGCTCGTAATGCGAGGCACCACTGTATACATCTAACTTCTGGAGTTGTAAGGGGACATATACATTAGAAAAGGGAACCAAACTTAAATAAGGGATCACTAATCAGGGTAAAGGCATAACATGGTGGTTTTTAAGGTAAATTGAAGCTAGACATAAAAATGTAAAACAAATAGTACTTAATTAACATATAGTAGATATGATATTGATATAGATACGACTACTTGTTTGTACCCAATTGAAGAAAAAGTGAGGGGGCAATACGGGAAACACTGACATTATGTTTTTAAGAAATTGTACTATTTATTATTTTGAAAATCTTTTTATGGGGAAGCTTTAGTTTCTTTTAAAGTTGTTACTAAATTAGCAAGTGCTGTTCAAGCATTAAAGCTGAAGTTGACACTGCCAAATTTTTGCCGCCCCGAGTAGACGTCTAGAGGGGCGGGGGAGAAATCGAAAGAATGAATGAATGAATGAATGTATGAATGAATGAATGAATGTATGAATGAATGAATGAATGTATGAATGAATGAATGAATGAATAAATAAATAAATAAATAAGACAGAAAATGTGGAGATAGAAATGGCTAAACACTTGTATAAAGAAAATTTATATAAAATGCTTTCGATAACATTTGTTATGTGTTAAGAACCTTTTTAGTTATTATTGGTACAAAATACAAAGTTAGTTGGTTAAATTGCTTCAAAATTCTATAGATTTGAAACCAGAATTGCTTATATTAGTTATTTTATTAGAGGATTTTGAGAACATTGTATACTATGAGAGTAATAGTACAGTAGTAGCCAATATTGTACACCAAAATGCACACACAATTGGTTCAAATGCTTAGAAAATGTATAGATTTTGAAGGGACCACTAAGAAGACACCAAGATGCAAAAGACAAATAATTATAAGCAACCCATGTAACACAATGTTTAACAAGCACGAACTGAATGTAGATAGATTGAAAAACTAATAAAATATTAATTAAAAAGAAGGAGAGGATGGAACGCAGTAGTGGTCGGTGGGTGGACGGGACCCTGAACAAGAACCTTCCACCCTGAGAAATCTTGTTCACCGAGGAGAACAGGGTTTAGCCTTCCTGACCATACAGTACCTCGAGAAAGAAAATGGATTACATTTAAAATTTCTAGTCATGTCATGGTGACTTTCTCAACTCTTCTCTCTGTTCGTGGTTTGTCTGCAGCCGTGGTTCTTAGATAGTGTGGGAGTCCCCCGCCCATGTTGCCCTGTTATTCTCTAGAAGGGTTGTGTTGTTTCCTTGCAGGATGTGACCCAGATCCAGAAGGTGTCTTCAAACGTCCACACCACTGAGGGGTCTCTGCCTGTTCCTGAGGGGAAGCGGCTTTGCTCTGAAGCTAAGCCGGAGGATGACAGGGATAACGGCTCACAGAGTGAGGAATTCTGCTATTCATTATTTAATTATGTTAATTTAATTTAATTATATTCACTTGTATCACAGATTTCTCTCAATGCAGGGACCCAAGGCAACTTCCAAAAAGATATGTTAAATGCGTAATATTACTTTTAATTGGCACACAGACCCCTCCCTGATTCTGTTATACAGTGGTGCCTCGCTTGACAAGCATAATCCGTTCCAGCAAAATCGCTGTAGAATGAAATTGTCGTCAAGCGAAAGTAAAAACTCATTGAAATGATTGAAAAACCAGTTCAATGTGTTCCAATGGGCAAAATACCTCAGCGTCCAGCGAAGATCCTCCATAGGGCGGCCATTTTCCAGTGCCTGTATAGCAAGGAATCTGTCCTAAAACACAGCGGGGAGCCATTTTGCACAGCTGGTGGCCATTTTGAAAACCTGATGATCAGCTGTTTTGATCGTCGTTAAGCAAAAAAATCGGTTCCCGAAGCGGGGAACCGATCGTCGTTAAACGAAAAAGCCCCATACAAACATCGTTTAGCGATCGCAAAATACTCATCGTTAAGCAATCGTCAAGCGGGGCACCACTGTACACCATTCTCCTAAGCTGCCATGTATTTATGGGTTTTCCCTAATTTAGGCATTTTCCCTTTTGATTAAAGTGACTTTGTACATTTTCTCCGTCCTTTCCAGCAGGTGATGCGTGGACGACGGAAGCGAAAAGCGAGACATCTCGAGTGGAAAAAGCTAAGCCAGTGAAACCTCCTGGGTATTCCCAGGAAGGTGTCCTGTGCCTGCGGAAGAGCAGAGAAATTTCCGAGAGTCCTAAAAGACTGGAGAAGGGAAAGAAAAACCACCTTGATTCAAGAGTGGATGGATTCTTCCCTTATTTAGAAGAAGGCAGGGACGGGAACCAAACCATAATCGTAAAGAGAAGGCGCAGGACTAGAGGCGAGAAGGTGTGTAATGTGTGCGGGAGGAGCTTCAGCCGGACCACGGTGCTGGTGGCCCATCAGAGAACCCACACCGGGGAGAAGCCCTTTATGTGCAAGGATTGTGGGAAATGCTTCAGCTTGAAGTCCACGTTAGTGGCCCACGAACGGACCCACACGGGGGAGAGACCCTATACATGTTCCCAGTGCGGGAAAAGTTTCACAGTCAGCTCCGATCTCACCAGGCACTACCGGATCCACATCGGAGAGAAGCCCTTCAGCTGCTTGGAGTGTGACAAAAGCTTCAGCCGGAAAACACAGCTTCTGAACCACCACAAAGTCCACACCCGGGAGAAGCCGTTCAAGTGCGGGGAGTGTGGGGAGACCTTCAGCCGGAGCTCCAGCCTCATGATCCACGAGGGCTCCCACACAGGAGAGAAACCCTTCAAATGCCCAGATTGCGAGAAATCCTTCAACACCTCCTCCCAGCTGGTCAAGCACTATCGGGTCCACACGGGGGAGAGGCCATACAACTGCTCTGAGTGCGGGAAAAGCTTCAGCCAGCGGCAGATCCTGATGGTGCATCAGAGGATCCACACGGGCGAGAAACCCTTCAAATGCGCCACCTGCGGGAAGTGCTTCTGTGACCGGGCTGTTCTCATTCGCCATCAGAAGGTCCACACGGGGGAGAGGCCGCACGAGTGCGCCACCTGCGGAAAGAGCTTTTCTCACCGGGCCGTTCTTGTTAGACATCAGAAAATCCACACCAGAGAAACTCTGAATGTACTGATTGTAGACAATGAACCCGATGAAACCCCATAAATGCTCAGATTCTCCGATTGGGTCTTACTATAGCAAGTTGTGGTCTATAACACCTGACAGGCAGTGTGCTCCAGCCGGTTCATAAGACATGTGTAGAAGAACAGAAACTTGGCCACAGATGTATTTTCATTGTGATGTGGGTCAAGGCTCTTAACACGCCCGTCTGATGGTTTTCACCAGAAATACGGATATCATAAGATAACTGTGGTTTCTGTCAGAGAGGGCTTCATGTCTTCTCTCCAGAGTGTCCAAATGTGGATACCAGCACCCCACCTCAAAAAAAATTGTGTAATTTTTTTTAAAAAAAATTTGTGTGCGTGTGTGTTCGGCTGATGAAATTGCCTTGCACTCTCTTAAGGCAGACATTCTCAACGGGAAAGATGTATGGCCCCCTCTGGCACATTTGGGGGTGGGGGCTGGCACTTATGAAGGAAGCCACAGACTGGAAACAGTTCTTCATACACCACCTTATGGAGGTTCATTATGTGTTTTATACTATCCTGATTTTGCCTACATTTCATTCATTTTGTGTTTATGGCCATGGCAAAAAAAAAAAGACAAAAGCCTATCTCGCAGCCATAAATATTGCACTCCCAAGCCAACTAGACCAGAGCACAGAGTGCTATCCTCTGAAGATGCCGGCCACAGAGACTGGCGAAACGTTAGGAAGAACAACCTTCAGAACACGGCCCAAAAAACCCACACCAAAAAAAAAACCCCGTTGAGAATGGCAGCAGAAGGGGACAATTTTTTGTGTTTTGAGAGGCTTGTCCTGCCCCTCTAGGCCCCTATCCAAGTCATTTTAATTTTTTAAAAAATCATTTTTGCCACTAGAGGGTGCCAAAGGGCTTTTTTAAGTAAAAAAAATCTGTAAGAAATTTTTTAAAAGAGGAGTTCATTGGCCTTCTCAGGTGCAAGTATAGCCCTCTGAGGCTGACTGATGGGCATACGTGCCCCACCCCAGGCCTCTAGATGTATTTAATCTGTATTCATATGCCACTGAGATTCTTGTTAAAGGCCTTGATCTAAATCCAGCTGATTAATTTCCAAATGGAGTAGCAGATCTGCCCTAGTTAGATCAGCCAGTTCGATTGAGTAAGTTCCCTTGAAGCCTAACCTGGCCTTACACAAATGTAGGAAACCAAACGATTACAATTAAATTGTTAAGCAAGGATAAGGAACTTTCACATTTTGATAGAATCTGACTTCTGCCTGCCCCAGCCAGCAGGGGCAACGGTCTGAGATGATGGAAGCTGTAGTGTACCCAAATCTAGTGTGACAGAAGTTCCTTAACTCTGTGATAGGAGGCTGGTTTCTTGCATACCGGCACATCACAGTTTTTATGTGAATACTGGGCAGCTGCATTCACGATAGGACCCCTGTATCTGCAGGGGATTGGTTCCAAACCACCACCATCCCGTTTCCGCTGCTGAAAAAATGTGGATGATGTTATAATAGAGAATGCTAGATATAGCATGGTCTCTTGCTCCCCCTAGTGTCCACTTCTGTTAATAACATGGAAATATATTTCTCTAGCAAATGCTATACATAGCATGGTCTTTAGCTCCCTCTGGTGCCCACGTCTGGTAACCTCATTTTTGAAAATATATACAGTATTTCTCAGATTTTTCTTTTAATATTTTCAGACTGGGTAAGTGAATCAGCAGATACTGATCCCACAGATAAGGGGTCCTACTGGCCGTGCCTCATGGTCCTCTCCAGTCAGTGTTGCTGGAGAATCAGAGGAGCCACCTGTCCAGGTGTTTGCATTTCTAAGTTACACACTACCAGCAAATGAATAAACATGGTTAATTGGGGGGGGGTGAGGTAGGGAAGGTGGGATGGAGTCTGTTTAATGTATGCATGTGCAGCATTTGCAAATTGTAGACAGTAAGGTTGGAAAAATGAATTGTTTTGTAGTTCACACTTTCTCCTGGCCCTGACTCCATCAAATCCTGGGAACACTTGTTGGACTTAGTATTTATTTATTTGATTTATAATTAGTTGTGTGCCATTAAGTCACTCCCGATTTATGAAAGCGCGATCTCCAAAATGCCCTGTCCTCAGCAGCCCTGCTCAGCTCTTGTAAAGTCAAATCTGTGGTTTCCTTGAGGGAGGGAGTCCATCTCACATTTGGGGTCCTCCTCTTTCCCTGCTGCCTTCAACCTTTCCCAGCAGAAGAGTCTTTTCCAGGGAATCCTGCCTTCTCACAAGGTGCCCAAAACAGGATAGCCTCAGCTTCAGCATTTTTGCCTCCAGAGATTGTTCAGGCTTAACTGGATCTAGGACCTGCTTATTTGTCTTTCTGACCACAAGAATTTGAGAGCTTGCAATAAAATACGGTGGGCCATAGAAGGGCTAAAGTGCAGAGCTGTCATTGGGGCAGACTTTGTTTTGTGCTCTCCAATCAGAACCGGCTTATAGCAACCCTAATCAGGCTTTAAAGGGAAGTGACATATTTAAGGAGCAGCTTTACCAATTTCACACCCCATGGAGTTTGCCGTGCCTCATGGTCCTCTCCAGTCAGTGTTGCTGGAGAATCAGAGGAGCCACCTGTCCAGGTGTTTGCATTTCTAAGTTACACACTACCAGCAAATGAATAAACATGGTTAATTGGGGGGGGGTGAGGTAGGGAAGGTGGGATGGAGTCTGTTTAATGTATGCATGTGCAGCATTTGCAAATTGTAGACAGTAAGGTTGGAAAAATGAATTGTTTTGTAGTTCACACTTTCTCCTGGCCCTGACTCCATCAAATCCTGGGAACACTTGTTGGACTTAGTATTTATTTATTTGATTTATAATTAGTTGTGTGCCATTAAGTCACTCCCGATTTATGAAAGCGCGATCTCCAAAATGCCCTGTCCTCAGCAGCCCTGCTCAGCTCTTGTAAAGTCAAATCTGTGGTTTCCTTGAGGGAGGGAGTCCATCTCACATTTGGGGTCCTCCTCTTTCCCTGCTGCCTTCAACCTTTCCCAGCTGGAGGGTCTTTTCCAGGGAATCCTGCCTTCTCACAAGGTGCCCAAAACAGGCTAGCCTCAGCATTTTTGCCTCCAGAGATTGTTCAGGCTTAACTGGCTCTAGGACCTGCTTATTTGTCTTTCTGACCACAAGAATTTGAGAGCTTGCAATAAAATACGGTGGGCCATAGAAGGGCTAAAGTGCAGAGCTGTCATTGGGGCAGACTTTGTTTTGTGCTCTCCAATCAGAACCGGCTTATAGCAACCCTAATCAGGCTTTAAAGGGAAGTGACATATTTAAGGAGCAGCTTTACCAATTTCACACCCCATGGAGTTTCCATGGCTGGTTGGAGATTCGAACCCACGCCCACTGAGTCCTAATCTGTCACTCTGTCCACTACTAGGGAGCTGAAATGTAGAAGGTGGGAAATAATGAACCAGCTCACTTCTAAGGTGTATGCCTGCTGAAGTTGCTCTTCACCACAGAGGGAAACATGCAAAATATTTGGGTTTCAGCACAGAATCCATACGGCCGCCACGTTCTCAGATCTGGGTTGCCGTCTGCATTCTTTCAGCCTCGGAGAAGTGATACTCTGGGCAATCAAATCATTTATGATGGATCTGTCAAACTAAAGTTGGTGGTTAGCTGGAAAAAAATAGATTTTTCCCTGGCATTTTGCTTAGATGGCTGTTGCTACGGCTGACACCTTACAACATGACACACAAATTTTCTTCCATGCCAATTCGACAGCCATATGGATGCCATATTATCAGTAGCAGTCACCTGACTGTGGCTCACCTGGGAGAAAGCCCTACATTGAAAGGCTTTGAGGCTTAGCTAGGCCTAGTTCCACACAAGCTTCCTGTTCCGGCTCTTTATACAGTAGGACCTCCATATCTGCTGGGGATTGGTTCCAAACCCCCTGTGGATACTGAAAACCATGGATAATAGCAAACACTATATTTAGCATAGTAAAAGGGGGGAAAAGAGAAAAACAACATTTTCACATGCATTTTCAAAACTGCCACTAGAGGGTGCCAGTGACCATGCTACCTACAGTATGTATTCTTCACTAACAAGTATTCTTAGCATAGTAAAAGGGGAAAAAAAGAAAAACAGTATTTTCACATGCATTTTCAGAACTGCCACTATAGGGTGCCAGTGACCATGCTATGTATTCTTCACTAACAAGTATTCATAGCACAGTCTCTGGCTCCCTCTATAGTCTGGTTCTGGTAATACAAATGAAAATGTTTTTTTAAATGTTTTTCTTTTAATATTTTCAGACCGTGGATAAGCGAAACAGCGGATAATGATACTGTAGATACAGGGGTCCCGCTGTATATGGTGGCTCAAGCTCTACAAGTTGGTGTAAAGGTTGAGGCTGACAAGATCCAAATGAGGTCTGCAAAGCGATTCAGGGAGGGTTTATAAGAAGCCCCTTCTTCTCCGGGACCACCTTCCACAAGACCCTGATTTAATAAACGTGAGATGCATTCCCAGCCACTAGAGCTGCCACCTGCAAAAAATCGGATGGGGCTCTTAGGCCTTTAATAGTTACTCGGAAGAAGGAATTTGAATAGTAGTTTGTCAGGCAAAAGCTACAGCTGTAGAAGTTCCTTTTTCCGCAAAGCTATTCAAAGCACAAGAGCCCCGTCCTCTTTCTTCTTCATGGTGGCCATCCTTCTGGTAACCATGGTGACCCTTGTCTCCATCACCCACTCCTTGTCCCACGATTGTCTGTGGTAGCCCCAGGGAGGCCCTGCTTCAGCTCGAAGAGCCACAATCTTTGGTCTAGATGGCAACCAGCAGAGTTGGACTGGACAATCTCCAGACATCTGGGAGGAGACCAGGGATTTTTAATTTTTTTTTTAAGACTGAAAAATCCCTGCTGTACAGTCTACTGGTCAACTTATTGAGGGCCAGGAATTCCCACAGATCCTAACAAAAGTGCTCATAACACCCCCAGGTGGTAGCAGGGATTTTTCTGAACAACAAAAAAAGTGTTTTTCCCCCCACACAGAAAAATGTGCCTGTTTTGAAAGTTGCTGTTCTGAACTGCAGGCCTGGAATCTCACAACTGATCGTGCTGGCTGGGGGCTTCTGGGATTTGTAGTCCAAAAGCGGGTTGGACAGGACATTACACGATCTGGGAAAATTCTGGAAAAACTTTTCCTTTTTCATTTTTTAAAGTTCCAGGCTCTGCACATAAGAGGAAACGTGTCTACACACTGACTGTGATTTTTAAAAATATCTAAATTAATCTGGGGACCGGATGAATGTTCCTCTCTCTCTGAATTCAGTCCCTACCGAGGATCACTAATTACGAAGTGTTAAAAGAATGTGCTTTCCCCTGCCATCTGGACAAACCTTGTCTTCTGAATCTGTAAGCTTTCAATTCACACATAGCCGTTCTTGGAAAAGGGTAACCCAGCCTCAGTCGTTTGTGCACAACAGATTTCCTGTCTAGACTGCTGAAATACATTCTACATGGTGCTGCCCTTGAAGACAGGTAGCACCGAAGGGATGCAGTGGGATTGCTCACTGCCACACGACACAGAAACAACATTTCACCTTTTTAGAGGAACCACACCGGTCGCTACCACTTCACTTTCAAAGCCTGAATTGTAATGTCACCTCAAAATCTGAAGGAACACCTCTTCTTTTGCACACGGGACTGCATGTTTCCCTCCTAAATCTGTAAAACCTGGCTCCTTCTGTAGGGAGAGTGAAATGGAGGGGAGGTTGTCCTTTTTTCCTTTTTCATAGGGAAGAGTTTTCTCGAGAAACAGCATTTTTAAAAATAAAGTAACCAAAAGGTTTTCAAACCAAGGTTCTGTGATGTCAACTGACTTCCAAAATGTGGTGATTCTCATAGGATTTTTCTGGCACCTGAAATGTTCAAGGAACAGTTCACCATTATTAATTAAGCCCAAGTTAATTCCCATAAGCTTATATTCCACCCGGGGTAGACACGTTCTAGATGGGCAGTATATAAGTGTGATAGATAGATAGATAGATAGATAGATAGATAGATAGATAGATAGATAGATAGATAGATAGATAGATAGGTAGGTAGGTAGGTAGGTAGGTAGGTAGGTAGGTAGGTAGGTAGGTAGGTAGGTAGGTAGGTAGGTAGGTAGGTAGGTAGGTAGGTGGGAATTCTAACCCAGATCTCCTGAGACTATATTCTACCTCGCCTTAATTTTATTGGATATCAAATTTACTTCATCCAGTGGTGCAGCCAAATCATTTTAGCCCTGGAATTATTCGAACTTATTTCAAGTGAAAAGCCTGTCAGAAAGTCAGCATCTCCTTGGATGTAGCCATACAGAGGGCACTAGACTTTGTGCATGCTTGGCTAGCAGCTGGCGGGCTGTGCAATTTTTACAAATAATGGTGCAGTGATATATAAATCCCAGTAAGGCCTGCCCAGCCCACACCGGTTTCAAGAGCCAAGGCCAGAATTTTTTGTGCCCACCCTATTCAGCAACTGCCCTTTGGATACTCATTTGCTTCCCACCAGTTTGGGGGGGGGGTCAGGACTGGCAACAAAAAGCAAAGCGTGCTGCTTATACTGTATAAGGCCACCTAGCGCTTAAAGTACTCTCTGGGCAGTTTACAATTTAATTATTCAGGCTACTCATTGTCCAGCAAGCTGGGCACTCCATTTACCAATCCCGGAAGGATGGAAGGCTGAATCAACCTTTCGCTAGTTCCCTGAGCCTGTTCGGATCAAACTCAGGTCACGAGCAGAGTCTTGGCTGCAGTACTGCAGTTGAACCCACTGCACAATGACATTCCTTGGGCACGTCAGCTTCATTGGGGCCCCCAGACACCTCCCAGACACACATCATTTTTTAAAAAATGGGACTATGCTCAAAGAATGCTTGTGTCCTCTAAGGCAGTGGTCCCCAACCTTGGGCCTCCAGATGTTCTTAAACTACAACTCCCAGAAGCCTTCACCACCACCTCTACTGGCCAGGATTTCTGGGAGTTGAAGTCCAAGAACATCTGGAGGCCCAAGGTTGGGGACCACTGCCTTAGAGGACACAAGCATTCTTTGAGCATAGTCCCATTTTTTAAAAAATGATGTGTGTCTGGGAGGTGTCTGGGGGCCCCAATGAAGCTGACGTGCCCAAGGAATGTCATTGTGCAGTGGGTTCAACTGCAGTACTGCAGCCAAGACTCTGCTCGTGACCTGAGTTTGATCCGAACAGGCTCAGGGAACTAGCGAAAGGTTGATTCAGCCTTCCATCCTTCCGGGATTGGTAAATGGAGTGCCCAGCTTGCTGGACAATGAGTAGCCTGAATAATTAAATTGTAAACTGCCCAGAGAGTACTTTAAGCGCTAGGTGGCCTTATCCACCTCTGCTGACAGGATTTCTGGGTGTTGAAGTCCAAGAACATCTGGGGACCACTGCTCTAAGGAACTTGGGAATCATGGGAGCAGGTACAGCCCTCTAAAAACCAGGGTTCAAGGTCCCTGGCCTCCAGACCTGTGAAGGTTTCCTGCCATTTAACCTTGGTCTGAAAGTCCAGACCTTCACCTGTGAAAATGATAGAGAGTGAAGTATATTATTTTCCCGGGACTGCTACAAAAAGGCTCAGAACCAAAGATGCACAGCACGTATCCCAATGTTGGGTCGCGGCGTCAGCAGTTAAAAATGTGGGTCGTGCCCTTTTCCATCTCTTTAATTATTACCATCCTACATAGTTTATCTGATAATTAACAGAGTTCTGATGAATACTGCTGTCATCTGTCTTTACAGTCTGAGCATCCGCATGGGTGGCTTTATGATGCTCAACAAAATTTGACCGTGTGTAGAAACTTTCCCCACAGAACACACATTTATATGGTTTCTCTCCCGTGTGGGTTTTCTGGTGGGCAATAAGATTAGAGCTGAGGTTGAATCTCTTCCCACACTCGGAGCACTCATAGGGTTTTTCTCCCGTGTGAGTCCTCTGATGTCTGATAAGGCCAGAGCTACATGTGAAACTTTTCCCACAGTGGGAGCATTGATAGGGTTTCTCTCCCGTGTGGGTTCTTTGGTGCACATTCAGCTGTGAACTCACACTGAAGAATTTGCCACAGTCTGGACACTGGTACGGTTTCTCTCCCGTGTGAGTTCGCCGATGGGCGGTAAGATTGGAGCTCAAAATGAAGCTTTTCCCACAATCTGCACAGCTGTAGGGCTTCTCCCCTGTGTGAATCCTCTGATGTCTGATGAGGCCGGCGCTGCAGGTAAAAGTCTTCCCACAGTCCGTGCAGTCATAGGGCTTCTCCCCTCTGTGCGTTCTTTTGTGTGCGTTAAGGCTGGACCTGAAATAGACGCTTTTGGGGCAGTCTCGGCATTGATAAGGTTTCTTGCCCGTGTGGATTTGCTCGTGGGCAGTGAGGCTTGATCGCACGCTGAAGCACTTCCCACAGTCAGAGCATTCATAAGGCTTCTCCCCTGTGTGGGTTCTCTGGTGCACGCTCAGCTGGGAGCTCACGCTGAAGGTTTTGCCACAGTCGGCGCATTCGTACGGCTTCTCTCCCGTGTGGGTCCTCTGGTGCCTTAAAAGGCTTGAACTGCAGCTGAAGCTTTTCCTGCAATCAGAACATTCATACGGCTTGTCCTCCGTGTGGACCCTCTGGTGCCTGATAAGGTTCGAGCTGCAGTTGAAACTTCGCCCGCAGTCCGCACACTGGTAGGGTTTCTCTCCCGTGTGGATCCTTTCGTGCGCAATGAGGTTGGAGCTTTGGCTGAAGCTCTTCCCACAGACCGAGCAGGCGTAGGGCTTTTCCCCTCGGTGAATCCTCACGTGCGCAATTAGGGCGGATTTCTGGCTAAAGCTTTTCTCACACTCGGAGCACTCGTACGGCTTCTCCCCGGTGTGGATCCTCTCATGGGCCACCAGGCTAGACTTCAAACTGAAGCCTCGCCCGCACTCTACACATTCGTAGGGCTTCTCTTCCGTGTGGATCCGCTCATGCGCGATCAGGCTCGACGTCTGGCTGAAGTTCCTCCCGCAGACCGAGCATTTGTAGGGTTTCTCCTCTGTGTGGATTCTCTCGTGGGCAACCAAGGTGGATTTCTTCCCAAAGCTTTTTCCGCAGCTCAGACACTTGTGTGGTTTCTCCCCTGTGTGAATTCTCTGGTGAGCAATGAGATTGGAGCTGTTACTGAAGCTTTTCCCACATTTGTGGCACAGGAGTTGCCTCCTGCATTCATTTACACCATTTCCGTGGCTAGCGCCACCAAAAGCTGACTCCTCTTGCCTTGGAGCGTTCAACGCATTTCCCAAACCTCCTGTCTGCTCAGGAAGCTGGAAGACTCGTTTGGCTTTTCCTAGCAACTTTCTAGGTATATCTAACTGTTCAGAACGATCCACGTCGATCATTTCTTCTTCCTCCTTTTCAGTTACACATCCTCGGCCTGCCGAAAACAAGGATAAAATAAAAACAGTGGACACTAGTAACAATTCGGGGGGGGGAAAAAGAGCCGTAGTTCCCCAGCATAGAATTAGAGAATATAGCACCTCAGTACCAAACCAAAGGGAGAGTCTAATATTTTAAATAACCCCTAAAACATTACTAATTACATTTAAAAAAAAACAACCAACACAGCTTCCAAGGCCAGAATCCTGTGGAAGCCACATAATGGACACCAGCAAGCACATAAGTGGTATACAAGAGCTGTCTGTCATAGATATATTCAAGTCTTATATCCTGGCATATGACAGTCGAACAGATCATGAAAATCCGTTCCTTGATTGCGCTTCTGCGTTCTGTATTTGGCAACAGGATCTCGGTTACAGAGGCTAGAAATATATATATTAAAATAACAATTTTAGAACTGCAGAGCTGGAAGGGACCCTATGGATTGTGGTCTTATAGTCCAGATAGGCGGGATATAAATCAAATAAATAATAATAATCGTTAAGTCCAGCCCCTGTCAAGGAGGCCCATCCGGGAATCAAACTCTCAACCTCTGGCTCCACAGTCAGACACCTAAACCACTGAGCTATCCAGCAGCTGGGTTTCATATTGACCAAAGGGGATAGAAAGCCTATTCATCTATAATCAGCACAAAAAACAAGGGCACTAAGATAAAGCCATCATCAC